ATCTCCCCAAAACCCCAAAACCCCAAAACCCCTTTTGGAACTGATCTTATTGTGATGTTAGATAAATTTCAAAAACCAAATAAAAATGGAATATCTTAATGACAAATTTTATCAAAGCTGATTAATTATCTCTATTTAGCAGTTTTCATTAGCTTCTGGTATTCTTTCTCTAGGTAATTGTACTCTGTCTCATATTCTTCAATAAGCTCATCTTTTTTCAGAGATTCAAACTTTATGATTTCTTTCTCATGCTCTCAGTTAGCCCACTCGGCCTAGAGAAGTAAGTTAATGATTTACCTTAATCTTAATCAACATTTGGGAGTACATCTCTAACTCTTTCTCTATTTTCTCTCTTTGAGTTTTCTCTTGAATCAGCTTTTGCTTGTGTTCAGAAATGATATCACGTAAGTTTGATTCGATAACCCAGTGTCTCTCCTGACTTTGATTTGAATTCTGTTTAGATTTCATTATAGATATCTGATTCTTCATCTTTTCGATTACGACATCTCTTTCAGATATCTTTAAGTTTAGGTCAGCCTTAACACTATCAACAGCAGTATATATCCTATTCTTTTGGGATTCAATATCCTTCTTGACAATCTCTAGCTCGTTTTCTGCTTGGAATAGCTTTGATTTGTACATTTGAGTAGTCTCTTGGTTATACTTCTTGAGCTCATTTATGGTCTCTTGCATTGTTTTCTCCTTCTTTGAAGCCCCTTCCTTTTCTACAGAATAATTATCAGAAACTTACCCTGCTCAAGCTGTTTAGTCAGGTCTGCAACTTTCTCTTCAAGCTTTTTCAGCCTGATGATTTTCATTGAAATATCATTTCTCATTTCATTGATTTTCTCATCTCTCTTTTTCACCGAACTCTCGATTTGATTTTTAGTTGAATACTCAAAAGTGGATATTTCCTTGCTCTTTGACTTAACTTCTCCCTCTAGCAGCTTGATGTTTCCTTCAAGTGTCTTTATTCTACTGTCCTTCAGTTCAAGAGTTGCATTCATTTTAGATATCTGAGATTGCTTCGCATCGAGAACGGTCTTGATTTGTTGAATCTCAAGAGATTTATCAGCAAGAGCAGATTTCATTTCTTCTTCCTTAGCCTCTAACTCATTCGCTAGCATACTTAGCTTATCACTAGCATTTGCATATTGAGAGTTTATTAGTTCTTCGTTTTTAGACTTGAGAGCTTCATTCTCATTGTTTAAATTTCTCTGTGTCTCCTCAGAAGATTTAAGCTGGTCTTGGAGCTGAGTAATTTTGTGTAATAAATCAGCTTTCTGAAGAAGAAGAGCTTCATTCTGATTATTTACAATTTTACAGTTGTTCTTCTCTCTTTCAAATTGCTCTTTCATGATTAGGTAAGTGCTGTCTCTTTCAATATTTGATTTCTCACTGTTAATATCTCCTCAATTCGAATGCTGCCTTAAGTGGGAGCTGTTTGCAGTATCATCAGAGAGTTTTTGAGATAATAATGAAACTCTTTGTGTATTTCCAAGTTCCATCTTTTTGTATTTCTTCTTTGGACTATCTTGGTTTCTTGTTGTCCTGGAACCTTCACTGAGATCAATTATGTTCGAATCAACTTTCATTGATGCACTTTTTAAGTTCTTTAAGTCTGGAGAAGTCTCTTCCTTTTTATTTGTGCTGTACCGAATTGGACTCTCTTCAAATAGATCTGATCCAAAATTACTGTCCATTTGCATAGACTCATCAAAGTCAAATGCAAAGCTTTCTGTTATATTAGAAATATCATCAGGGATTTGAGAAGCAGTTTCAAAGTTAAAATGCCCTCCCTTTTCAAGACCACCAAAGATAGATTTTGAAGTCCCATATTTTCCAGAGCCACCGTTGAAGGTCGATTTGACATTTAGATTAAGAGTGACATAATCTTTTAAACAACTAACTTGTCCTAAAGAGTTTACAAATTTGAGATTAATTCTTTGCTCAAAAGGTATAGTATTCTTATCAGGAGGATAGATAAGATCAGCAACATTACAAATGGCTTGTCCAATAATCTTAGCATTATTTTTACTAGATTTCATCAATACCTTAAAAACGACCTAGAAGTTGATCAAAAATCTTACATTCTTTCTCAGGAATCCTTTTTTTGCATCTTTAATCAGAGGAATATCAATTTCTAGCTGATCCTTCTTGAACAGTGATTTTAATTTATTTGCCTTTCTTCTGTGAATCTACATCTTATTAAAGACTAAAACTTACCAATCTGCAGACAGAGTCCTAAACTGGCACTCTTCTTAGTTAAACTCTTCAGATTTAATGCTGTGAACTTAAAGCTGTATTTGTAGATGCTATAAAGAAATTTCTGACTAAAATTACCTTCGAGATGATTTGCTCATAGTTGAATCATTAAGACCAACCTTTGATTGATTCAGAATTACTGTGTTCATTGTTCTCTAGAGAGAAATTAGCATAAACAATTTAAGGTTTCAAGGCCATCTACTTTTTCCTCAAAATACAGACAAAGAAAAAGATTGCAAAAAAATATAAACAAAGAATCTTTTGTACTGTGTTGGAAATGTAAGATGAGAGTATATAAACATGTTTAAATTAAATTTGTCTTTTATCAGTAATCCTCTAGCTTAATGAAACTAAATTGAGATATACCAGTCTAAAACATTTCATTTACTCATAATCTAAATCAACATAAACCTAAATTACAAAACCTCCCCAAAAGATCATAGAAACCTCCTATATTTCCCTTCTGCAATCTCTCTGAACTCTCTCAGTACCTAATCCCTAAACCGTCACCCTCTCCACCTCTCCCATAGGATATATTGCCTTACTCTCTTCCTCTTAATTGTCAATATTAATTATATATTAACAATTAACCGTTGGTTTTAAGGGGTTTTGGGGTTTTGGGGTTTTGGGGTTTTGGGGTTT